AATCACTCGTGTGTTTATTTCCAGCTGTCTGTCCTTCTGCAGTAAAAGACACGTTCTGTATTCAAATACTGTTTTAAAAGAGTCAAATCCATCATTCAAAATGAAAAACAGGCAATTACCAAGAGTGCAATAAACAAAATGACTAATGGATGGCCCGCGTTGTGACTAATGTGTTGCCTAAGGATACTTTTGACTCCTTCTGATTGGATAAATATTTCATCCTACATCCTGACCTACAACACATGACACAGAAAACATGTTGAGCAAATTGCTTTCAATGTTTTTGTTGATAGTGAGCATGGTTCAAGCATCTGCAAAAACGTTTTTTTTTCTTTAAAAAAATAATCACAATACAGATTTTTAAGTTCATGGTCAGCACATTAATAAGCATTTGTTTCCTCTGAAAATGCATTCTTCAATTAAATCTAAACACAAAGAGTGTCCACTTCCACAGAGACATCTTTATTTTTGATTTCTTTTAACGGAAGGACTAAATAAATATGCTTTCACTTATGGTAAAATAAAAAAAAAACACCATGCAGGATTACCAGTAAATGATTTTTATGCAAACAGAATGTCAAAAGGTCAGAAGTTCAGGCCAAAAGCATAAAATGGTCAAATTTGTAACTTCTAAAGGTAGAAAGAGGAGTTTATGGAACAGAAGAAAGAAAATGTTGTTTTTAGAAGTCTTTTATGTGATTGAAAATATAATAATCCACGTTATTCATCCAATAATATCCACATTTTTCAGAATAAAAGTGTGAAAACATAGAATAGAAAACAATGGAGGCAGTTTTATGTCCTGATGGGGAGGGAGGGGGACAATCAGGACCATGAACCTGCAGTGGGAGCTATCCAGCGAGGGTCATAGGCTCGGGCGGAGCCCCTGGGGGAGGTCTCCCTCCAGGTCTCGGGGGACTGAAACTGCAGGGACTGACTCGCTGCGGGGGCCCTGAAGGCACCACGCAGAAAACACACCGGGGGGGGGGGGGGGGGCAGTCAGCTGGATTTAGGCTGAGACAGACAGATGGACAGAGTGAGACAGACTCTGGGTGGACATGGTCAGCATTTGTTCTGAGGGTTTTACTTGTCAGAAGGTAGAAAGCGCCGAAGATGATGACAGAAAATATTTTAATTGGGTGAGAAATCAGAATTCAGCTGATGGGGAGAGTTTGTTTCTCCCTTTAAAGTTTGTGCTGGTGGATAATGAGATCCGAACGCCACGCATACCTGATGCTGGTGTGTACGTGCACGTGTGTGTGTGTGTGTGTGCGCGTGTGTGTGTGTGTGTGTGTTGCTGACAGTTTTCCATGTCAGGTGGAGGAAAATGAAGAGTTTGGTGAAGAACAGTGTGTGGAGGACAAACGGGTGGATGATGTTAGCACCCCCTCCTCGGCCTCACCCCTCCAACACCGTCTTATTTTCCTCTCCTTCAATCTCACACGCCCTCCCTCCATCCCTCTCTTCCACAGACGCGCACAACCACACCACATTCTACAAGAAATAATTGCTTTTGTCTGGAAGGAGTGCAGGGAGGAGGGAAAGGGGGCGCGCACGGCTCCCTTTGTGGAGAGAAGGGGGTCTTTGAAGGACAACTAGTCACTTCTCCTTTCCCCTTCTTTTTCTTTTCTCCTCTCTCCCCTTCTTGCCTCACCTCCTCACTCCTTACCATTTCCTCTTGTCCTCTTTGCTCCCCTCTCCCTCTCCTCCCCTCCTCTTCATTGGACCTGCGGATGTCATCTGTCATGTGTGAAGCAGAGGGAGAAGGACAATAAAACCAGGTTGTCTACAACAGGGGAGGAGGCATTTTTCATAATTTAGAAGAGGCCATATTAGTGCACGGCTGCACATTTCTTGACAATTAGTGTGTCTGCTGATGACTGAGTGAATGCGAAGTGATGAAAGGTAAATTTACCCAGAAGTCCCAGTTGGAAGAGACCTAATCACCTGCAGATAGGCTACATGCAGTCCTGTGGGATGGGTGAGGCAGGATCTGAGGCCCAACAGGAGCAAGCTCGTTCTTATTGATCTGGCCTTGTTGAATGCAATATTTAAAGTATAGATTTTTCTATTTAAAAATCTATATTGACAATAATCTGGTGTGTAAGCGGCCGGCGTTGACTGATGCTGTCGTAATTGACAGCATGTAACACGTAGGCGCTGAGAATGGAGAGGGATGCTGAGGGGGGAGGCAGATGTGATTTTGCTTGTGACCTGTGCACACCTTGAATATCCTTATAGTGGTCTGACAGCTTGCAAACTGCAGCTCGAAGTTCCTGCATCTAAATGATAATGATCCAGATAACTTAATTGCTCCTGATCCTTGGATTCTTTTCTCCGGACTTCATCCCTGCAAAGAGTAATGCACTGATCACCACTGGCATCATTATAGCCGGTATTATTAAGAGAAGGGGATGGGGGGGGGGGGGGTGAGGGTGTGCAGAAAAAAATCAATACAGGATACCTTTTGCAGCGGTAGTGAAAACGAGGGAGATGGAGGGTGGGTGGGAGGGAGGGAGGCAGGAGGGAGGAAGGGAGGGTGTGCGGGGGAGGGCTGGTGATGTGTGAGTAGTAGCGTGTCCTCTCGCTTGCCTCAAATGTTGCGGCCAGCCTGTAGTGGCAGATCGCTGCAATCCTGGAGGGGAGCCGGGTCGAATGAATGAGAGATCGGGGGTTCCCACATAATACCGGGGGACAGACAGACAGGCAGGAAGACAGACAGACAGACAGAAAAACATCTAACCCAAAATAACAAAAAACAAAGAGAGAGAGAGAGAGACACACACAGGCGGATGGACGAGAGAACGGCAAGTGTTCCGATAAAAGCGCGACATCATCCTCCTCACCATCTTGATCTGCTTCTGGTTTAGCTTGTTTCGAGCTTCCGGTGTTTTTATTTTAAACTATTAATTTATTTATTTGTTTATTTATCGATTGATTGCGTTTTAATTACGGAGCGCGCGGGAGGAGGAGCGTCAGGGCATGCGCGCGCGCCTTGTGTTTTCTGACTCTTGTATTTAATTTCCCGTTTGTGTTTATCAGACACGCGTTTGTCTGCTTTCGTTTTATTTTCCACCTTTTTTTTAATGAAGCTGCTTTAAATGTGCTCGCGACGCGACCCGCTGCTTAGCGCGTGCGGATGAATGTACATGTGTGTAGATAAAGAGAGAGAGAGAGAGAGACCTCACGCGGAGGAACCGGAGCAGGAGCGCGTGCAGCTAGAAGACCAAATACTATACAGAAATCCAAATAAGACTTTCTACCAACTCCGTCGTGTTTTTTAGTTGCTACACAGAGAAAACCAAAGCTAACAGGAGATCTTGGCTCAGCGACTGTTCTCATGCCTTTTTAAGCAGGAAGCGTAACTGGTGAGGATAGAATAAGCTCCAGGGCCTCTATGTTTACTCAAGGAGAAAGCTTTAGCAGCGTGAGACGCAGACAGGTGACACGCAGCCTCTTTATTATTTACAAACCTGTAATTGTAACAGAACTTTTCATGTAGCTGCCCTCCTCTCGATCCGCCTGTGTGTTAGCGAGTCAGGGACCATCATCCTCCGCTCTATGCACGTTTACACCAAAACTAATGTTATTCTATATTGTCGACATCCACAAATGTAAATAAAAGCGCGCATGGTGGGGGGGTTGCTACACATGTGCGCACACCCAACGGCGAATGCTGCGAACCAAGTAACAATAATCCCCCAGAGCTGTCTGCCTGAGAGTCGGACGAAGACACAGAGGCGCGAGACAGGAGGACACCACTCCTTGCTTGAGTCCGATTATTTGCATCCAAACAAGAAGCAGGAGGAAGATCATGTTTGTTCCCTTGCCGGTGCCGTTCGTGTTTCAGAGAACTGCCCCTGACCTCAGCGCCTGGCGTCTCAAGTCCCCCCTGGCTCTGCGCTCCAACTCCGGTAAGACATCTTTTCTCCTCTCCCTCTCACACCTCCTCCATGTCGGCCAGCCTCGCAGAGCCGCCCCGCCTCGCTCTGAGCCGACCGCCGGAAGATGCGCACACACCCACTCACGCACTCCCCGGTCTCCCGTTTATTTTAAGGATCTTTAAGAACAATAGAGTCCACTGCGCTTTTGCAAGATGCTGTCCGTTAATCCGAGCGCATTTGAGTTTAAATGCTGAACATACATGTCCAGATTGCTGTCCAGTCCGGCGCAGCGCTGCTCCAGCCCCGTCTTCCCATTCCCTTGCTCGGGCTCCTTTTTCCTTGCTCCTGTCTCCGTCCCCGTCCTTCCCGTCCTCTCCACTGCCTGCGCCTGAGCCTCAGCCTCCTACTCTCCCCAACTAGACTCTCGGCAGGCAGGGAATATTCATGCCAACTTATCGATCCTGCGGAGATCGATTCCTGGGCCGGTGGAAGAAGTGAGAGGGGGAGATAGAAGGAGACGTTGGTGCACGGAGGAGTACCACCATGCTGAAGGAGAGGAGGGAAGAACACCATCTGTTTTATTCGTACCATGTTTGTGCAGCCTTAACTTTTATATGGTCTCTTATCAGCTTTGGGTGTGTGCGCGTTTAAAAATAACCTAACTTGCATTCAAGTTGCCCATGATGTCTCCATCTCAGTTGGGAGTGACTGCGTCTTTCTGTCCCGTTTGGCTGCTGCTGTTTAGTAGCAGAGAGGAGTGTGGAGGGGGAGGGGGGGGGGGATGCTGAAGATGTGGCACGCTCAAGTGGAAGAAAAGGAGGCATGGTGGGAGCAGTAAGGCCGGGTTTAGTGTGTGGCTGTCATTGTCAGAGGACTCCAGATCAGTTCAGCTTCCAATCACTCTCAGACGTAGAACAGCTGCACTTCACTTGACCCCCCTTGACATCTTTCTGTCCTGGGTGCTCAAACTCTCATTCTTCAGTGTGTGGGATACAACATCTAAGAGAGGCAAATTAGACCATTGAAGTCCTTCAGTTTTAGACTCACCTATAAGGTAACTGACCTTAAGGGTAGTAACACCTCTATTGAGAGGGAAAAGGTGGCGGTAACAGTATTTCTGAGTGTGTGTTTGTGTGTTCGTTTGTTTGTTACCAAAATATCTCACAAACCAATTCAATTGTGTGGGTCAACACAATTCAAGATGGCCACCACCACTGACCAACATCTGTATATACCAATGTGGATATAACTGAATCTATTTTGCGATGTTGGTATGAGCCATCCACGTCCCTCACTCTGAGCATTAACTGGTCGTACGATTCATCTTTAGCCTGCAAAGACGTCGTCTGGCAACGAGCCGATGTGGGGCGGTATCTACGGATGTCTTTCAAAGTGTGTCCACACACGACTGGACAGCGCTAGGGCCAATCAGACCGACGAGCAACGTGTGATGCATTCACATTACGAAAATCGGCCAAGGCGCAGTTTGCCATGAACTGTCGAAGAATGAGTAAATGATTAGAGTATCTCTATCTGCTCATGTATCAAATAAAAGCTCAAATCTAAATCAAAGTTGTTTCAAACGAGCGCTGTTCTTTAGCCATCGCCATGTTGCTTTCCCCCATCGCAGCTCTTAAGCCCAACTAACATAGTGCGCTATGTTGGCTAGACGCAAAGCTAACAGCTAACGGCAGACCTGCTGAGGCTACGTGGAGCGGGGATAGACCGACCTGCTGCGGTTGGTCTAGATTTCTACGATTTCTCACGAACCACTGTGCACATTTTATCAAAGCTTTGGTAAAGTCTCAGCAACTGATTACTTTTAGGGGTCAGATAAATTCAAGATGGCCACCGCGGTCAACTGACATAGAAAATGTCAAAAATAACTATAACTCTGATATTTTAAACCGACCGAGCAAGAATTTAAAGGTCTCATTCACTCATTTTGTTCACTAAGTCTGCTGTGGTCTCTAGTGTGAATAAATATCTTGTGAATTCTTATCTGTGAAAAAAAAAACTCTCATGCTTGAAGTTTGTTGCTACAATATGCTAACATCTCTTCTCTGATTGGCTGACAACAAAGCGACTCTTCCACTGCCGGCGTTCGCGCTTATCTCTTGGGTAAATAATAGTGTTATCTCCACAAATCGCACAAGCTAGTGCGTGATCCGCCATGTTGGGGAATTGCTAATGCTAGCGGTTAGCTTATAGCTGAGACGTGCTCTTCAAACACAGCCTTCACCCGGTCGCAAGCCAAGGTGGGCGGGGCTATGAATGCTAGCTTTCCCTGTGACATAGAAAAGACTGGCCTTTTCTGACCCGAACGTTTTCCCGTCTAGTTCCTTTCTCCGGCTAAAGCAGGTGATGTTTAGCATTTATATGCAGCGGGCGAGCCCTCTTACGTGGCACTAACTGGGTGTTATCAAAACATTTGCTCTGAGATGTTGCAAAATTTTTGATAACGCCTGAGATCAAAAGTCAAGATTTTACCAAAATATCTTTATCTCCACCATTTCTCACATTTTGACATGAAAGCTAAAGGGTGAAATAGATTCCTTCAAGGATTGCTGGGGCCTTTAATTAAATCTGTTGCTGGCCTTTGGAAATGGTCGTGCTCTTAAAGGTCCAGCCCTGCCCACCATAACCTAAAACACTTATCATTTCTTTTCCAGATCAGTTTTGGGGGTCATTTGATTTCAAAGACAGCCAGCTTCACCCTTTAGTCCTTACACTCGGTCAACATTACACAACTGTGACAGCGAGAGGACAGGTGATAGAGGCAGAGAGAGAAAAGGAGTGCAGAGGGACGAAAATGACCCGTTACCTGTTATAATCTCTGGAGAGTTGCACTGTGGGAAGAAGGAGGAGACGTCGGCAGGAGGAAGAGGTGAAGGCGCATGCAGGGACCGAGGAGGAGGAGTTTTTGCGCTCCACACTTTGAAAAATGGCGAATGTCAAAATGAGATAAAAAAATGTGGAAAGCGAGAGTGAGGGAAGTGGAGAGTGTGTGAAAGTAAAAGCAGATGACAGAGTGAAAAACGATGAGGGTGAGGAAAACTGGGTTTGAGTTGGAGAGGTGAGAATAAACCACAGATGAGCCTTTATGTTGCAGCGTCCCGGGCCAGGACCAGCATCTGAATGAGCAGGCTCGGGCTGCAGAGTCCTTCAGACGAGGAGATGTTCTTCTGATTTTACAGAACAACGCGCCGTCCTTTTCAATATTTCTGTCGCCGGTTTTCCAGAACAGCAAAGGAGCGTCACTGTCCTTCAGATCAGACGGGAAACACTTCAGAGATGCCATTTTAGATTACAAACATTCAAACTGAACACACACACACACACACACACACACACACACACACACACACACACACCCACCCACCCACACACACACACACACACACACACACACACACACACACACACACACACACACACACACACACACACACACACACACACACACACACACACACACACACACACTCAGTTAACTCATCTGACTGGTGGCAGCTACTTGACTCCTTTGCGTTAGAGCTTTGTGCGGGGTCAGAGGTCACAGCAGCAGTGTTAGATTCAGCCCCACCTGATCCTTCTCTGCACCCCCTGTGCTTTCATTCTCTCATGTTATAAAGAGGCCTCCAGCCCCTGTGGGGGGCTCACACACACACACACACACACACACACACACACACACACACACACACACACACACACACACACACACGCACAGTAGCTATGAAACAAGCATCTCTACCTGCTGTAAGTGATCCCGCTTTTGTTCTATTTTTAACGACGTTGTGTCTGTGAGGGTGCAGGTCACTGCCACTACCGCGCGAACCGCGGGTGTGCTCGTAGTAAAGTGGTTTTGTGGAGCCATCAGCATTAACCGGCGTATGAAAGTTTAATGGGACACGGAGGAGAAACCGACGAGTTTGATATGATACGAAGGGACGTCAAGGAGACCGGAGACGGCTTTTTTCCCCCCTTCTCCTTATCTTTCACACACACCAAGATTCAGTTCATCTCAGCTGTGCACCTTCTTTCACACAACATTAACCACCATCACCCGCCGTCCGACTCTTTCCTTCACAAGCACTTAGACTTACAGATACATTTCAGGGTTGCTCTTCTTCTGTCAGAGTAACACCATGACTATCTTACTACAGGAGCGTGATCTACAACTATTATTTAACATATCTGCTTATGTGCTTCTCACCTTCTTTTGAGACATTTTTATGATGTGCACAAGGCAGTGGCACGGGTATTTAATTGCTAAATGATGTAAGAACATGCATGTGCTCCACTGTTTGCTCTGTGTGTGTGTGTGTGTGTGTGTGTGTGTGTGTGTGTGTGTGTGTGTGTAACGAAGAGGGAATAAGAGTGTATGTGTGCGTACAACTACGAACACACGTGTGCAAACTAGTGTGTGTAGATATAGATTGGTTTGTGGAGGGGAGCGTGCAAGTCGCAGTGTTAACATGATTGCAAATGACAAAATGTCAACCTGGGTTTGTTAGCAACATAATGGGGAATCAATAGACACGAGAAAGATGTCAATACTACATGCTTTATTGCATTAAGCTAGCTCTCTCCTTCTCTGTGGCTCCCCTCTTCTCCTTTTCCCCTTTTCCCTCTGTCACAATCCCTCTCGCTCCCTGTGCTCCGCTCTCTCCCCGCGGTGGTGGAATTAGATTGCAGCATATGAGTCTGAATGTAGCACACCAATGGCAGGATGCTCCAGGAGCTAATGGCCTATCAGTTTGTCTATTTAGTTTGACGACGTGACACGACCCGAAGAAGCACGAAGGGGGGGCGACCTTATGTTTAACGGATGCATTTATGTAATGAATCCATCATAAAAACCCATTGATGGAAACATAAAAGCCTCTGCCATGACAAATATAATCAGACCTGCTCTAATTAACCCTCTGGAGGCAGGCGTTGCAGATTTGCAACGTTAAAACCTACCTACCTGAGCATTTTTGAACTCGGAAGTACCCCTGAAGGACTTAGTTGTTCGTCCTTTTATCAAAACTTATTTTGAGCCTGAGAGGGTTAAAAAGACACATCATTTTGACTGGGGCAGCCATATTAGATTTCACTAAAATCTCTGGGGCAATTTTATACTAAGAGCACGAACAGACTAACTCCAAAAGTTAAAGACCAAGTTCACTTGTTTTTCAACACATCTGCAGCAGTCTCTAGTACAAAACAACGCTTGTGAGTTGATCTTTGTGAGGAAAAAGCTCTGGTGCTCCTGTTTCAGGAACTAGAAGCGAGCCAGAGGACAGGTGAGCAGAAGACGACGGGATTATTTCCTGATTTTCAGACATCCTGCCTCTGATTGGCCAACAGCAGCACGACTCTACCGCTGACTCCATTAACTCTGCAACATTTATGTTTAATCTCCATAAATAACACAAACCTGAAGGAGTCCTGCCATGTTGCGCAGTTGCTAATGCTAACAGTTAGCTTCTACTAGCTGAGACGTGCTCTGCTCTCTCCTGGATGCTAAACCAACAGCCTTCCCTGTCGAGAGCAAAGATGGGTGAGTCCATGAATGCTAACTTTCAAAAGCTTCATTTATAAGACAGACCATCGTGTCATTACAGAGTGATAAATCCAAATTTGTGGGTCTCGTAAATGCGGCAAAGGGGAAAGGTGATAAAACTCGATTCTGACG